CAGCTCGAGTTTTCTTATATAACGAGATAGAACAATCATAGTTCTAAATTCCTTTCCCCTTCAACTTTCCATATGGAGAAGGTGTTGCCCTCCCTTGTTCATCTGAGCATGACAGAGACACAGTCTTTGTTATTCCCCAGCACTGTCCTTTGCCCATTCTTCTGCCCTCTCCTGTCTTAGTGGAAAACTGAAGGAGGCTTGTAAAACTTAACTTTTCTTCCTTTTTCAGATGCTAGTCACAGGCAGAAGAGCCTGCATGGTTTAACTATATAGTACATACTTGCTTTATTACTGCATTTATTGACCTTATATTAGAGTTGACCTTTTGTTTCAACTTTATCACTAAATTCTTTATATATAACTTAAATTCTTGCCCCAGTCATCAGTTAAGGGGATGTATTTGTGGCAAGTATGGGAGAGAGGGAATAAGAGATAACAAAAAACCAGTAGCACAATTGTATACTATTTTGGAATTCATAAAGCACTTTTTTTAGACATAACCTTATTTGCTTCTTATTCTAGGATATTATGTCAGTTTTACAAAGTATGCAGCTGAGACAACAGTTACAAAGTTTACCCGAGGTCATAAAGCTAGGATCTGGCAAAGTCAGGACTTAAACTCAGGTCTTCCAACTCCTAGTCCAAGGTTTTTTCAACTGTACAATAACAAATTGTTAAAAGGTATGCAATATTTTAGCCACTTACAGTAGAATGTGTTGGTTAAGAACACAGACATAGGCTTTGGAGTCAGGTAGCCCTAGGTTTCAATCCTTGCTGCCACTTATTAGCAGTGTATCATGAAAAAGTTGCTTAACATCTCTGAGTCAATTTTCTCATATGTAAACTAGGTATGCTAATGAATTATATCTACCTTTCAGAGTTATTTGATAAAATTAATAAGATAACATATGTATAATTCTGAGTACCATTATGGGACCACAAGATCTGTAGTCAATGTGGACAAGTCCACAGGCAGTGATGAGACAGCAGGTTGGCTGCTATATAGCTTCATGCTTCCCAGTTCCAGTTATTGTGGCAAGAATTTTTTTCTTGCTATTTCATATCTAGGTATAATTCTTCCAGAAGGGGAAAACAGGTATAGAAATAACTATAGCTCTGAATGTTTAATAGGAAGAGAGGTGGCATATAAAGTCAGTGAGTTTGTGACAGGCTAAAAGTGTGAAAAAAGCATAGGAAAAATGGACAGAAATTGCTGTAGTCAAGAAGACCATCATTGGGGCACCTGGGTGGCTCAGTTGGTTAAGCGTCTGCCTTCGGCTCAGGTCATGATTTCAGGGTCCTGGGATTGAGTCCCACATCGGACTCCCTGCTCAGCAGAGAGCCTGCTTCTCCCTCTCCCTCTACCTGCCACTTTACCTACTTATGCCCTCTATCTCTCTGTCAAATAAATAAATAAAATCTTTAAAAAAAATATTAAAAAAAAGAAGACCATCATTAAAAAGCATGCACATCTTGCAGCAATACTGTATACTACAAAGTAGAATTTGGCCATAAACACAGGATGTAGCATTAGTCCCAGTCATTAGTACTGGTACCCATATTTGTAACTGGCATATCTCTACTGGTCTGAGATGAAATGATAAAAATACTATAGTGATTTTTCATGAAGCTAAATTTATTCAGTTTAAACACTTGCTCTTAAAGTTGCAAATTAAAACAAAACAAAAAAATTAAACACTTGCTCTTTATTTTTGACATACCATTTCAGCTTTTTTTTTCTTTTGGGAAATAATAATGATAAATAATTGATAAATTTTTAAGGTCCTTGCCAGGCAAAATAAGTTGGCAAATATATGTCAGCTCTTCCCCACTAATATTTATTTTGAAATCCCATAGTCTAGAAAAACACTGAATGAGTTAATCTTCAAGATTTCTTACAGGTGTGGGAAACTAGACTCCTAGATATCAAAGGAATTTATCTATGAGGATCATTCAGTAACATCAGGAAGAGCATTTCCAAGGAGATGCATCTAGTTCCTAATAATTCACATTTTATACAAAGGCCCCACTTCTTATCTCCTAGGAAATTACAATTTAAGACAAAACAGAGGTACAGGTCATTGCCACTCAGCACATAGAAACCAGAGTAGAAACTAATATCCAGATTAATAATGAGGGACTTACAGCATATAATTTAGGATTAGATAGGAAGAAAGACAAAAGCCAAACTAGACCAAAGGACCAAACAATCAGGTCATCTTGGAGTCAACCAGGGCTATCTGGAACTCCTTAAATGTTACTAAATTGCTTTCTTTGCCTTGATGTCCTGAGGCTGTACATGACTATAGAATTTCAATGGCTAGACTAAAGAAGATGGTTTTCATCAGGAATTTAAAAAAAAAACCTCTTTTGTTGGTTTTGATTTTTGTACTATATACAGGTTCTGAGGAGAACATTAAATACTGGTTAAAGTAACTAGGACACCAAACAATTATAGAATACTTGGGTAAGTAAGCAAACATCGTGGATAAAATTAATAACTAGGCAGATTCTCATACCCACGGTCATCCTTAGTCCCAAGAGTAGGTATTTTTAAAAGATACATTAATTACAGACATCTAGTGGGTGAGTGATTTATTTCATTTATGTGGTTGTCCTCTGGTTCCAATTAATGTGGCTTCTAAAAGTACATTCACTTGTAAGCCAGGGGATGTTTAGGCCCTTAGAAAATCTGACTCCTTGTTAAACATATATAATCAGTTTTAATTCTGAATACAGCAAATGAACAAATGGCTTCTGAATTTGTAAGATAAGTATTTCCTGAAGGAGGTGATCAGGAAAATGCTAATAGCTGGGAAAACAAATTACTGAACCGAAACCTAAAACAAAGTTCACTGTGACAAATAAGTCTTATTTTTTTCACATTCTTCTTGAAAGCACTATATGATTTTAGTGTATTAAGCATGATTTGATTTACCATTAATTTATTTCATAGACATTTATGGAGCGCCTGCTAAATGCCTGGGTCTGGAGATACAAAGATAAATAAAAATCTTTGCTCACCAGGCTGTTACCATCTCAAGGAGGTGCTCAGCGCACATTTTAAAATTATGGTAATTTCTATGGGAACTTATACCGTACCACACATCCACACACAGAAACACACACATATTTTAAAGGATTTAGGTGTGTGTCAGAAATTTTCAGGAACCGAAAGAAGCAGGCAGGCCTTAAGGGCCAAAGCTCACAACTAATACTTTAGTATATAACATCTTGGTTTTTAAAATCATCTTTAAATAATATGCCTTGGATTTTCCTTCTCTTTTGGCCTCATTTTATGCAGTTCTACTTCTAGAAGGTCTTAATGGCACTTCCCAGTCTAACCCAACCTAACCTCTGTATTTCTTCGTTGCTTAGTTTGGTAGAAGCTCCTCAGGGAACTTCAGTTGAAGGTCATGCACTCTAGCCCTTTTCAGATTCTTTCATCCTATCTGGGGGGGAGAGAGGGGAGACAGGTTGCCATTTCAGCGTTTGTGGGCTCTGAGACTGCCATTTGCACATCCACACTTGAGGAAAACCTTTGTTCTGCATTTGCCTGTTTGATATTTGGAGGCCCTGGGACGCTCATGTATACCCACAACACATAAAATAGTTATCTTCATCTGTCAAGTAGAAGGCCCATTTTGTTACAGAAAGAAGCCGACAGTAGTGCCACAACTCTGCTGTGAGTACAGCAAACTGGGCCTGACTTCTTTTCCATGCTTGGGTTTGGGACCCCTGGCTCCGCCTGAGAGGTGGTGTGGGTCTGGGTTGGTGAGTTAGGGTGGGTGGAACTCCATGGGGCTCCTGGCTGTTCTTGGGCATCCAGGGACTATGTGCGGGCGGACACTGGCTGTGACTCCTGGCCAAGTTTGAAAACCCAACTGTGTTACTCTGGTCCTTTCTGGCACCATAAAGGCATACTTCCCTGCAAGAGAGATAACCCCATGGTCCATCTCAAGGAGGGGCTGGAAGGGCAAGTCTGGCTGTGCAGTGGAGTGGCCAAGCCATGGCTCAGATGGGCGCAGCGCTGCCCAGACTGTCCAAGCATGGACCAGATTGCTTTGACTTGGCCTAAGTCAGCGTATATTGAAGTCCCCAAGACACTTTTTCCTTGGCTGCAGGCAGAACGGAGCCACACGCAGCCTGGGCCCTTTTGCCCCTACCGGCGGATAAGCCCTTTGACCAGGTCACTCTCTATTCCTTCTGGCTACTGTTTTCCCTATTGAGGTCAGAGGATGCTTCTGTGAGGCGGCCCAGCGCGTAGCAGAGGTCCATACTTGTGTCCATGAAGTCTCTATCTGCACTCTGTGCTTTGGCAGGAATCACAGTCGCCGCCGCAGGACCCCCTCTGCAACTTAACCACTCTTGCTCTTGCTCCTTCAATACCAAGGGAAGGGCCCAGAGCAGAAGAAATGCCTGCTGCTGTCAGGAGAAACAGGCGCACCACGGGTGCGCACTCTTTACTCCTGCGCGCCCAGGGCTGGCGCTGGGGCTTTCGTGTCGGGACTGAAGCTAGAACCGCCCTCCCCAGAGCCTCGCTGGGAGGGAAGTAAAAACAAGACGTCCCGCCCCGTACCCGAAACGTTACAACCATACAATTTCCATCCCTCTCTCTGCTTCCTGACCTTAGAGGGTTAAATCAGGAGGGTACAACGCCACCCCTTCCCCCTACTTCCCGCCTCTCCCCCCTACCTCCTCACCTTTAAAAAGTTAAAAAATGTCTGCAGTCGAAATCTCTTAAAGGGGCGGTGCTGGTGAACGAGTACTCTTGGCACGAGTCGCTGAGAAGGCTGGCTAGGGGCGTGAGTTCGCTTCACCAGCACCAAAACACTGAAAAAAAAAAAAAGAGAGAGAGAGAGAAAGAGAGCGAGAGGGGGGAAAAAAAGGAAAGGAAAAAAAATGGGGGGGGGGGAGGCAGACAGACACACACTTTAGATAAGGACAATTAGTCACCAGTGAGACCCTGCAGGAAGAGAGGTTTAAATCAGAGGGATTTAATGAGGGTGCTCTGTGCCTTCCCTGAAGCCATGCCCTCCAGCAACTCCCGCCCCCCTGCGTGCCTAGCCCCGGTGGCTCTCTTCTTGGCTCTGTTGCTCCATCTCTCCCTTTCCTCCCAAGTTGGAGACAGGAGACCCTTGCCTGTAGACAGAGCTCCAGGTTTGAAGGAAAAGACTCTGATTCTACTTGATGTGAGCACCAAGAACCCAGTCAGGACAGTCAATGAGAACTTCCTCTCTCTGCAGCTGGATCCCTCCATCATTCATGATGGCTGGCTCGATTTCTTAAGGTAAGGCAGGGGCTTCCATGGATCATTTTTTTTTTTTTTAAAGTAACAACCCCCACCCCTTCCTGTCCCCCATTCCAAAGGGGGAAGAAGAAGAAGAAAATAAGCCAAGCGGATCTCACAAAGAGAAGAAAAGAGGTTTTCCTCCTCCTGGAATATTTGCTGTGAGGCTTTAACTGGTGATTGAGAAAAGCAATGTTTTCTATTAAGATGCACATGTTTGCAATGCAGAAGGCATTTCAGAAACTTATCAGTTATGACTGAAAAAATGTTGTGCTTACATATATCCACAATTAGCCTCCCCGTCTCCTTCTGAAAAAGAAACAAGAGGTTCAGGGCAGTTACAAAAGCGAAGAAAAGGTCTCGAGCAACAAAGACCCGAGAGGAATGGGTGTGTGTGCCTCTGTGTGTGTGTATGTGAGTGTTCAAGCGGGGATCGCACGAAAGTGGAATTTTCCACGGAAAGATCGATTTGTTAGTTCTCTCCCATTCAAAGACAGAAAACGAATTTAAGCAGACTTGAGCGGTGGGCAAGTTGGATCAGATTTTTGAAGTTTTCTTTTATATCCTCCGTTGTCCTTTCCAGACTTCAGGACTTTGTAAGACGTTTTTTTATAGACCGAATGGCCCCCCAGTCCCTCCTCCTTAAATCTCCTGCGGTAACTGCATAGTTTAGTTTTTCTTTAAAGAAAAAAAAAAAAAAATTCTCGCTCCAGTCATAGGGTATATAAGGAGAGCGAAAAGGGTCCTAGAAATACTCCAGGGTTGTTTCGGAGGTCTGAACTCGGCACCAGTGGATTACCAAACCGGGTGGTTTGTGGTCATGGACTCGCCCCTTACTCAACGGCTTGGTAACTAATTGGGCTCACTCTTTCTCTGAGCTGTTACTGTTTAGCAGTTAGGGAACTAAGATCCCTTCCCATCAGGGACAGAGTTGTAGAGTAAAAAAAAATAAATAAATCGTCTGCAATGTCGAATCCAGTGTTGAGTTATTAAAAATTCCCTCCAAATTGGAGCCTCAGCTGTGGGCTCTCCCGAAGAGCCCTGAGCGCTCTATCAGTCCCACTTTTCTGCCCGGAGGCCGCATCCGCCGCGCGTCTTTCGTGAGTATCTTTAACTGCATGCGAAATCCATTTTTGCTCCTGGCATGCTCCCGCCCCTCCGCGCTGCGGTTCTGCCCGGGCCTCAGCGGGGTCAGAGGACGCGGCAGGTAGCCGGAGGCGCCACACGGAGCGCTCCTTCCACGTGGAGCGAGCTTTGCGGGAGGACTGAGCGGTTGGTGTTGCTGCTGCCGCCGCTGCCGCCGTTTCGGTTCCTGGTGGTGCCTCCACTGGGAAGGCGGGAAGAACTACGCGCCACCCGGCTTCCTCCTCGGAAGTTCTATCAAGAGCAGAGCGCGTCTCTGAACTCGTCCGTTGGTTGGGGGCGACGGGGGTTTTCCGAAATACACGCCCCACTTGCTTAGCACTACTCCAGCTGCGTGGACTCCTTTGGGCTTATTTTCCCTTCCTTCCCTTTTAAACCATCTTGTTAAATGGATGCTGCAGAAAAGATTCTGGAAGGCGGCTTTTCGGGGAAGAAGCCATGGCGGGGCGCATTTGCGTTGGCTGTGCGGGCTTCTGGGTGGGCGGTTGTTGGAAATGCCTTTTCTGTAGGGTGGTACTGGCGCAGATGTCTCCTTTGCCCGCTGCGGGGCCACGCGATGCCCTGACTGCGCCCGCCCTAGAACGCAGTCCTGAAGTCCTCGGCCAAAGACATTCTCGGCCATCGGACTTCTCAGGGCGGCTACCACTTTTGTCAGCAACTCTCCGAAACGGGAGTCCCCGGCTTTTTGATTTCATATCCACCTCCTTTATGATCCTGTGTGTTTTCTACATTTGGATTTTCAGAACCTGAACCAGCAACGCGTTAAAAATAACTTACAGATCCAGAATTCAACAGTTGATCGTCTTAGTACTAAGAGCATCTGCACTGCTCCTTCTTTACCCCTCCCTGAAGTAGCTTTTGGCGTTAAAAACTATTTATTTATGGAAATCCTGCATCTAAATAAATATATATGCCGTTCTGGTGTTCCTCGAGTCTCCTCCGAGGAGCAGGTTCTACATTTCGGCAAACTTCACTTTTCCCAGAGCTTGCTTCCAAAGGGCCCCACGTAGGAAGGAAAAAGATGAAGCTGAACTCAGAGTAGAGAGGAGGATGTTACCTTTCTTGAGATCAGGCTGAATTATTTAAGGGACCAAAGAGACATTGCTTTTACCATGCGAGGCAAAATGGGGAGAGTTCTCAGAAAAGCAAGGATTTACCCCGGGGGAATCTCTTGTCCAGGGTTTGGGAGATGGATGCGGTTGTTACAAGATAGTGTTGAAGGAAAATCAACTTTAGCATTAAGAGAAAAAAAAAGAAGAAGAAGAAGAACTCGACCTCAGGTACCTGGTCTGAGAAAAAGGAAGCAGGTTTCACCTTATCCACAGAGGTTGCGGTGCCCCTGGGGCGGAGGAAGCAGATCTCGGCTTTCAGCCTAGAAGTTTGGCAAAAGTCGGAGCCCGGCAGTCCGCGCGCTGCGCGTCTCCACCAGGAGCGCTTTCCCAGCAGTGGCAGAAGCTGGGCAATTGCACCTTAGCCCCGTGTTCTCAGCAGAAGTATCCCCCCCGCCGCCCCCCACAAGCACTGTTAACAAACAGACTAACCGTTTGGAAAGAAGTACCAAACGAGCAGCGTCGGATTGTGTGAGGGAGGGGGCCGCGGCAGGCTGGGCGCAGGAGGCGTAGCCCCGGGAACTAGGCGCACGCGAGATGCCGGGGCCCGCGCGGATGGCGGGCTGGAGTGGACACAGCCCGTAGCCTCCGCCAGGTCACTAGCGGAGAGTGGGAAGAGGGCCTTGGTCGGTGCCCCACGCCCTCTCGCCTTCCCCCCCGGATCCTTTCCTCTCTCTTTCTCTACCCTTGCAGCTCCAAGCGTCTGGTGACCCTGGCTCGGGGACTTTCGCCCGCCTTTCTGCGCTTCGGGGGCAAAAGGACCGACTTCCTGCAGTTCCAGAACCTGAGGAACCCGGCGAAAAGCCGCGGGGGCCCCGGTCCGGATTACTATCTCAAAAACTATGAGGATGGTGAGAAACTTGCTCCCAGTCTAGCGGGGTGAGGGAAGTTTGAGGAATAGGAGCGAGCACTCGCTGTGTGTGTGGGGTGGGGTGGGGGTGGTAGCCGACTTGGAGGAGAGCCTGGTAGAAGCTCCTCTGAAAAGCTGGTGGCAGTGGGCTAGGGGACACCGGAGTATGGGACTCCTGACGTGATTACGCAGAGGGGGTCACCAGGTTGTCTTGGTCCCGGCTGCCGGCCTTTCGCTGGGCGTCTGAACTCTGAGGCCGAGAACTGTAGCCAGAACAATTGGCAGGCCAGTCCTGTGGGGGGAGAAGATGTAGTGGGTTTCTTGAGAAAATTCAGACAGGTTCATAGGCTACTAATGGATCAGGGTCACGTTTCATTCCTAAAATTCTAGAAAAAAGTGCCTTTTTGTTTTTCTTATTTCTTGCTTTCCTGAGTTGAGGATATGGGTGACACAGCCTCTTTTGAAACCCACTCTAAAGTTTTCTGGATAATTCCTTTTAGATTGGACCTTTTTGTTGGGGAAGGTTTGAATATCTCCGCAGTGGGTTCTAATCTTAGAGTCGCATTTTTTTGTTTGTTTTAAAATGGGATTATAAATGCCAGCCTTCTTTCTTGCCAGGATCAAATGAGTTAAGTGTTGGAAGGGTTTTGAAAACTCCAAATCATATTCAAGTGCGAGAGGCCAATCTTTTTAGGTTCGAATAACCTCATTTTTACTAGGAAAAAATGAAAATGGCATTTAAAATTTTGTTTAGAGGGTGTAGTGTTAATATATATGAATTTTCTTTGTGGGTAGGGGCATATTTCTTTCAAATAGTCAAGATGGGAATTGGTGGGTCCTCAGCTACTGAGACTGTTTAGATTGTATAAAAGAGGCATCGGTGTCCATTCTTGGAGGGTTATCTCTGCCCTGCTGTCCCTTTTCATAAGTGAGCCTCAGTTTTATTTTTAAAGAGCTCAAGGACAGGTTCGTAGAGCTCCCTGGATTTTGTTACATCTTTTCTTTGTAAATCAGCAAAACGAGGAAATGCCGTTGTATGTATATTCTGGGGTTTCACTGAATGGGGATTCTGGAGAGATACTGGGATCTATCTCAGGGTGGCTGGGGAAGAAAAATTTTTTTTAAGTGCCAGAGTGGAGAAAGAGAGCAAGGCTGAGGCTTCTTGAATTTAAAGCATGAATAGGACTGACTTTTATGATATTTGCCACAGTGTATAGGAGTGTAAGGCTACATTTTTTCAAAGGTAAATGTCATTGCCATAAAAATGTGGATTGCAATAGATTTTGCTGTCACTCAGCATAAAATGCTGAAAGGTAAAAGATAATCCTGAACAGCAGCTCTGATGGTAATTTGACCCAGGGCCTTATAGCTCCCAGGGTCACTGTCAGCTCTGTCATCAGACATGAGAAGGGAGAGTATTAATGGTTTTCCTGATGAAACAGCTCTTCTTTGAATCCATGTCAACTACTACTTTGAAAAAATGTATAAGAACCTCAAGAACCACTGGGGGGAGAGGGAGAAGGACCATTATAAATTATAGGAATTGGCCTTTTTCTCCCAAACTTGTACCTAGCATTGTATTACCAATTCATTGAGAACATGAGATCCGCTTAAAAATGAAGGATACAGTTTGTTTCCCTTTGTGAAAGGAGAAAGTGGGCATCATCAGGAGAAAGGAAATTGACGGAAGGCTGTGCCCCATAAAACTTAATAGAATTAAAAAAAATCAGAAATGGAAAAGATCTAAGAGGTCATCTTCAATCCTCCCAGCACTTCAGGGGCCAGTACAGGATCATTCCATATGGAATCCTTTTCTTGTTTTGTCCAACGTGGTATTAAATATCTCTAGGAATGTAGTTTTTACCACACTTGTGGGATGAGTTCTGTCCCATAGGTTTTTGCCAGCATATCTATCTTGAATTTTCCTTTTATAAATATTCTCCAAATATTTACGATTATTTATTTTTTGCATTTTTTAGACATCTATCTTCAAAATAATTTCTGTCTTTGGTGTGAGTGACAGCTTCAAAAAAAAAAAAGGTTTCCTCATAGCTGTTTTTTATCTAGACTACCTGGATTTAATTCTTTTAAAACTTTCTTTAAAGTCAGTACTTCCAGACACTAATCTGTTTTATTGCCCCTAGCTGAATGCCTTTTGATTTATGTCTCCCTCGTAATAAGATGCTCTGAACTATATCAGTATTTGAGGCCTTAGCAGAGTTAAAGAGAGTAGGAATGCCCTCTTTCTGCCCTTTGATGCTCACATATCCTTAAATCACCCATATTGTCTTTGTTGTTGCATGTTGCATTACAGGCAAAAATATTTTTGGTATAGTCTTAGCAATTTTGCAAACATAATACTTCAGTTGTCGCTTTTCATCCAGTGATAATTATCATCATCATCATGAACATCTTGAACATAATTAGGTCTTCTTAGCAAATGGCCCTGTAATAGGCACTTGGGCATAAGCACCTTATTAAAAACAAGATGTATTGACTTAAACATAATACAGAGCAATAACATACATTTTGAGTAATAAGATACACCTATTGGCACATTATGAAATTGAATGCTAAAGAAGGGAATATGGAATTTGGACTTAGAAAGCCTGTATTGCAGGCCTTACTCTATCACTTATGATTGTGTGGCCCTGGGCTTGCTGCTTCTCTGTAGCATATGGATGATGATAATACCTGCTGTGCATTGCTTCTGTGAGGCTTTTAAGAAGTAATGTGTGTAAAATATTTTGTCAGTTACAAAGCACTATGTAAAGGCTAAGGATCTTACATTTATTAAGAGCAATTTCAGAAACTTTATAACATTTAATATTTTGAAGTGGGGTTAAGAAGTGAATAAGATTCAATCAGACAGAAGTTTATACAGAAGAAAGGAGATAGAATTAGGGAATTGTTTGAGAGGATTAAGGGAATGTAGGGAGAATTGTCTTTAAGGAATGGAGGTGGAGAACATAGGGTGGCTTACTTTTTTTGTGGTAATGAGAGAAGAGACTAATCTTTAGTTTTCTTACATGCTAACAGTGACATGAACCAATAGTTCCAGCTTAGGTAAAATACACTTTTATGGTTAATTCATATTGCTCCTTTGTTGTGATTTGTTGTTGTTTCCCCCTGAATGAATAGTGCAATTAACAAGGCATGTGACTTCTATTTTTCACATACTTTTAAAGCTTTAGTTGCAACTGCATTTTCTCTTAACTTTCTAAAACCACTGTTTATGTATCACTTCGGGAGAGTCTCTGGTTACTCTTTTAATATAGTTAATCTCTTCTACTCTATGCTTAGGCAGCTTGAATTTCATACAAACATGGTGATGATGGAAGAAATAAAAATAGGATTGTTCTTCATACCTTGGAATCTTACTGTTTGCCTTACCTTTTGTACACCATTTATTATGCATGTCAAAAGCCAGCTTGATATTTCTAAAATATCGTATTCATTATTTCACTCTTGCCCAGAAATTTTGATTATTTTTGGATTACTTATAGAAAATGTTCAAGCTCCTCAACTTTGCATTCAAAGCCTTTCACATTTCAGTCTCAGCTTACAATTTTGTATCCTGTGTTTTCATATACTTTTTATTACAGACCTACTTAATTTTCACTCTCCATAAAGCACCTTCATTATCTCAACCCCATTCCTTTGTTCAGCTACATATCTCTGCTCTGAATGCCTTTCTCTTGGCTTTGTTCATATCTCACCGGCCACCCAATTCCTGAAGGCCCATTGCAAATGCCCCTTATTTTCTCAAGGCCTTTCCTGAGCATATCATTGCATAGTGATCTCTTCTTTCTCTGGACTGTTATAGCTTTTACTCTTTTTTTTTTTTTTGGCTCCGTCTGCCTTATTTTTTTTTTTTTTTAAGATTTTATTTATTTTTTTGACAGAGAGAGACACAGCGAGAGCAGGAACACAAGCAGGGGGAGTGGGAGAGGGAGAAGCAGGCTTCCCACAGAGCAGGGAGCCCGATGTGGGACTCGATCCCAGGACCCTGGGATCATGACCTGAGCCTAAGGCAGACGCTTAACGACTGAGCCACCCAGGCGCCCTGCCTTATTTTGCTCTTTAACTTGTAACATGTATATGAAAAGTTTTCCTTTCCATTAAATGTTTTACCTTTATAGAAAGCACATTTTTCATAGGAAGGGACCATATCTAATTATTGTATATTCCAAAAGGTCTAGCAATATATAGAGCTTCAGCAAATATTTTTGGATATATATTGGCTTAAGAACACTGTTAAAGCTGAGGGTTGCTGGAGTGGGGGGTGGGGTGGGAGGGATGTGGTGGCTGGGTGATAGACACTGGGGAGGGTATGTGCTATGGTGAGTGCTGTGAATTGTGCAAGACTGTTGAATCACAGATCTGTACCTCTGAAACAAATAATACATTATATGTTAAGGAAAAAAAAAAGAAGATAGCAGGAGGGGAAGAATGAAGGGGGGGAAATCGGAGGGGGAGATGAACCATGAGAGACGATGGACTTTGAAAAACAAACTGAGGGTTCTAGAGGGGAGGGGGGTGGGAGGATGGGTTAGCCTGGTGAGGGGTATTAAAGAGGGCACGTTCTGCATGGAGCACTGGGTGTTATGCACAAACAATGAATCATGTAACACTACATCAAAAACTAATGATGTAATGTATGGTGATTAACATAACAATAAAAAAGTAAAAAAAAAGAACACTGTTAAAGCCTTGGGAAAATGGAGGTGACTAATGAAGAAATGAGTGAATTTGTATGCGAAGATTCTATTCATTTTTCACCTTCAAAGAATAGTCTTATAAGTTCATTCTTAATGCTTATTTTAATGACATTTTTCATTATTTTAACCATGTACTCTTTATCTTGCATAATCTAAGTCATCTTGGTTTCATGCTATGCATTTAAATCAACTTTATCACCTGGTTTAAAGCCTTGCACTGGACCTATTACTAATTTTACATTGTATCTGTTTCTTCTTTGCCTTTATTTTTGCTTTTCCT